GTAGTCCTAAGTGCGTTCATTTGTAGAAATCTAGACCCTATTATATGTGGGAGTTACTGAGTTGATTGAAAGGATAAGAAACATGATCAAACATAAGAATCAATAGTACGCAAACAAATACCTGATCAATTGTTCTAGGGGGCATCGAAAATGTCAATCTCTCTCGGGCGGTTTCCTCGGGATGAGCTTCAGGTGGTAAGATTCGTTCGACGGTCAGCATGAAATCATTACGATAGCCACCGAACGACACAAGTCTATGGAATGGGAAACTTCGAATCACATCCTGAAATGGCATCGTTTGAATGTGACCACAAATATGCCAACATCATTAGTAAGTTCGAATTTGCCTTATAATTGCATCGAAAAGAAATGGCAAATCATTGAGTGACAATGCAAATTGATTGAACACGTAAAACTTGCAAGTTGTTTCGAAGTGAGCAAATGCACGCCCTGATCGTTAATCGCTATGAAGATTTTCTCATCGTTGCGCATCTTCATTTTAGCTTCAGTAACGTGCGCACCAAAGAAACGCCATTTCCTGAGCACAACTAAAATCATGCGTACACAATCAGCCACTGTTGTACCATTCAGTTGTTTCCAGTGCGATTGAATGTTTAGCCTGAACATTTACGATAAATAAAAACATAGAGTCTTGCGCTAAAGGAATTCAAAGATGTCAAAGAGGAAGTATAGGAGGCGAGAAGAGAACATCCTTTGGTATGTCCACGAAAAAACATTTTATTCTGAAGAAACGGAACATATGAACACAAAAAAAAAACATTTTATTCTAAAACATTTATTTTGGAGAAACTGGACGAGGTAATTTTTTCGATTGAAGTAAGAAAGTTAACGAAATGCATTCGACGATAAATTGATAGTCCAATTGAAACTAAGCACACACCTAAGCGTTCGTTCACAACCTACATCGAGCATTTTCGCCGGATAATATGATGAAGTAATTTTGCTGAATTGTTCTTCGCTTATCGCTTCACCAACGTCACCGAAATGCATCTGAAACGATCGAAAAATTTCAGTAATACGTTCTCAATAAATAAAATCTGAATGCAGTGTTAAGTTTTTTTGTTTCAGTTTCCAGTATATGAATACCTGTAACGTGCAAAGAATATCCTAGTATCATGAATGTCAACCGTGCAACACTCTTCAAGAATATGAGTGTGAATATGTGTGTTCAAGAATATGTGTGTAAATTTATGCCACGAAACGAATCATTCCGAGAATATTGTCAGCTTTTCGAGTTCAAAATTTTATAAAAGCGCTAACCTGAGCATACACAGCGGCTAGTTCTTCAGCAAGTTCACTGCTCATCGGCAAACGTCCGGCAACGATCTCGCTCGCCATTCGATGAACCAAAAAGAGTCGTTCGGTTGGTGTTTCTGAAGCGGTCAGATGTGTCCAGTATTGTCGCTGTCGAAGGGCGAGTCGAATGCGAGCACTCTCCTCGGTGACACGTCCACACTTACTATCCATCAGCTCACGTTCCCATCGTGATAAGCAATCACATAACTGAAAGAGTTCAAATGATTTATGCTCAGTCCAATACGATTCCGATTGCACGCCACTTGAACAAAAGTCAATTCTCTAATAAGCTTTGGGCCACCAATTCACTGCCTTGAATTGAGATGTTCCATGGAAGAACTATCGAGCTGATTGAAATGGATCAGAAAATGAACCTTCTGTTTGCCTTTCAACAATATGTATCTGCCTTGTTCAAGAGCGTCTTCAGCGTAGAGCGCGTAACCGCTCAGCAAAGCCGGTCTTAGACCACAACGAACACAAAGTGCCGATAGGCAGTCGCCAATATCCGTTGATCCATCAAAATCGATCACCTGAACGAATTTAGCGATCAATGCTGACAAGTTCATGCTGTAACTATCGAGAAAGAGTTCAACGATGATCACTCAAAACCAAACAAAGTAAACCAACATGATAATCTCCATTCGGTAGAAGTACGGCAATACTGTGCGGCATATTTGTTGATGTTGGATCGCGAGTGAGAATCGAAATTGCTTCTAGTTTACTCGGTCCTTCACAACGACAACCTGCCTCAAGACAACGACTCATCGCACGCTCACAATATTTTGCCAGATTTCCTTCGTCGGAGCTAAACAATCAGGTGTAAATACTAGAGGAACAGAAAATTGAAACCATTGAACAAAACGTTAAACTGAAATTGAAAATCTATTTTATTATTATTATTATAGATTTTATTGTTATAAATTTACTTTATCATTTTANAGCCAGATCACCATTGTTTTTAACAGAAAACCAGCTCGGATCGACAAATAATGTTCAATACTTTGAAATGCAGAGTATTTGCCGGTGAAATCGGAATAGGTGTGAAAGTAAACTGGCAGAAAGCCGTGAAAAATAACTATCTGCACGGGTCAGAATGGTGTCTGAGAGCGCACAGAATGTCCTAGAAACAAGCAAATACTCACTTCGTAGCAATCCATTTTTTAATGTGTTGTCGAAGTAACCAAAGAAGCGAATATTGCCGTGGTGTGAACAACGGTGCTGCTAAAGCCAACAGCTTCCATGCCTGAGAATATCAAGTTCATTTCACAAGCGAATCAAGACTCTATGAAGACAACTGCATAATTCCGATGATACGAAGTGATCAATCACGCAGACAATCGCATCAATTGATCAATCGTATCAATCACGAAAATTTTGCACGCACTTCGTTCAGTAGCACAGAATTAATCGAGAAAACTGAGGTGATCTCCTTAGATGCTTCGAAACTCACCTGTATTCCATACGGCATTGCACCGGACGTAAGCTTGATGAGTTGAGCGTATAGCTCATTCTTAAGTGCGTCATTGTGCATAGCAGTTGAAAGAATGTTTTGCGCCAGATCGATGTGGTACTGTACGCCCGATGGTCGCATCAACACCGAAGTGAACAGATACGAAGCACGATTCAATTCGAGTGCTTTCTTCTTGATATTATCGTCGGTGATTGTCGTCAAAGTGTCTTTTGGCTTCTCCTCACAACTCGTCAATAATACATCGTTCCATAGCGGAAGATCAACTGCAAAAAACGCACGCAATAAAATCTCGGCCGTTTTTCAATCCCGACAACATCCAAATACTAGAAAATGGTCGCGATTTTGCAAACACACTGATGGTGATAATTCAGTCAGAGCAATCTTTGTGATATAGTTGCTGCTGTTTTCAGTTGTTTTCTGCCAGTCATTAACGATTATGTAGATGAAAATCAATCAATATCAGAAAATTCAGAAGAGTGAGAGATCACATTTGGTATTTGAATGATCAACATTCCTTCTCTTCGGTCTTATCAGTCAGCGGAGTGCGTCTCAGCCATGAACCACAGTGCCCACAAAAAATAGCAACCGAAGAGAACCTACCGTTACTGCGGTGTTCAGTCATCATTCGTTGTACCAAAACTTCAAAAGGTGTTCCACAAATGGCCGCATCTCCAGCTGCATTCTTCAGAAAATACAGCCACTTATCCTTTTCCTCACTACTCTTCAGCACTATATAGACTGGGTCTGAGCCAGCGATCTGCAAAGAACAAACCCATTAACAACGGATCATAAATATGGCATCACGAGGTTAACGGAATTCATGACCAGCGTTAAAGTGAAAACTACCTCAATTGAAATTGTGTGCTCGAAATTGTTGCTCTCCTTATTGTCATTTTGCTCATCCGAACTTCCACTATACTCATCAGCCGAACCTTTTGATTTCTCGCAGATATGCGCTCCTTTCAAAAACATATGCGAACACGGAATCTGCAATAATAAAATGTAATTCACGATCAGTCATTGAAATTGAATTGTGAAAATTAGTGAAAAATTCCGTTGGAAAAATTCTACGCAAACAAGGCACCAACAAATTTTTCGCATATTAGAGCGTTGGATTATTTGAGTCAACCATTCGTATACACTTTGAATAACACTCCGGCTGAAACGTTTTGAATAGCGCAAGCAAGAAACAATAATGTTAACTTACGCGATCTTCGGCATTTTTGAAGAAAAGTAGTTTGCCATCAATTACGGATGCATAAAACCGCTTTGATATGCCACACTTTGCCTAAAATAGGACCGAATTTGAAACGACCATCAAATAAGGCATCAGTACGAGGATCTGCCGATTCTCATCATCCATATTTGAAATGCAAAAAGCAATTTTGAATGGGATATGTGCTATAGCAGATTCGTTTATTATCCTTCAACTTGTTCGAATTTGCACGCACGGTATCATGAAACAACGTGAAATTCAAGAATCAAACGAAATATAAATTTTCATTTCTGACACAAATAATCGAAACGTACAAACCTTGACCACATATCCGCTGATCAACGAATTGAGGGCTGTCGCTCGCTGACTTACTTCCGAGATTGTTGCTGTTTTCACGTTCTGATTGAGCACCGATAGCCATTCATCAGTAACTTTTTCCGATTCACCCGTATAGCAGTGTCGACTGTTTGCAGTGAGAATCTTAAACCGAGCGATAAATTCATCAAGTATCGTCCGAAGATGTTATATCAGGTAGTTCATTTAAATCAGCAAACAATCACAAAAATGAGATGCATGAATGAGACTTCAACAAAGTCAAGAGTAAATGCGAATTCTCATAGTGGAACGGACCTGTAGGCCGTTTCCCATTTTATTCGAGATCTTTGTCACAGAAAGTACATCTGAAATCGCGATTCTAACGAGAGGCTCTTCACCCTTCATGTAGTTCTTCTGAAAAAATCTCATCAGCTGTTTCATCGCTAAATGACGATTTATCAGTCCACATTTTATTTGCTGTCTACAACACGACTGATTACAGGACAGTCGAACTGCGAAACAAATCATTTTCGAAAGAATGAACATCAATAGCCATCAAGAATGTCGTGGCATAGTTTAGGTTAATGAGGAATTTTCGATCGACTCACTTGGGTCCTGTACAGCGAAAGATTGCATTCCTTCAGAACAAAATATCGACGTTTCAATGACTTGAGTCTGCTGTCGGTCATTTGAATAAGGTATCCGCTTTTTTCTGCCTGAAATGAAATTGTCTGTCAAATTCTTTTCGCTTCATACAAACGATTCTCGCACAGTCATTCAACATGTTTCATTGATTTCTCACTGCTGAGTGCTTTCAGTAGTGAATACAATGAGGATTCATCGAAAGTGGACGATCGATCGGTTATCCGATAAAGCAACTTTTTTTGAATCGGGAACACACACATATCGCAGCATAAGGGTTACATAAAAATATCAATCAGCATGAATGTGCACAGTTCTAATCTCCTTTCTGGCTAGTAATGAGTGATCCTTATGAGAAAAATGCATCCAGAAATTCCTTCTCCGAACTTGTAAGTAACGGCTATGTTGAAAGATCGACCGCTTTTGGAAACTTTTAAAATGATGAAAAAACTGAGATCATGTGCTATGGAAGAGAAATTGTGAAATCATCATCATGTTCTCCGTGAATGGCAAGGACAGTGAAACTTACCGGTTGTCCTGAATTAACAAGTGTACCACGTACATCATGAGTTGCATCCGGTGGTACCGCGTAATCACCTTCTTTATTAATGACCACATCATGACTTCGACGGCGATTCGATGAGCGTGAGCTTTGATCTGAACGTCTCGATGGCGATGAACACAAATCGCTCGTCTGAAATCCACATCAATCAATCAATCTTCGCTGATTTATTCCACCACATTCAATGTAATGTTGATAAATGTGTCAGTTTTTGCATTTCAATTCGAACAGCAGCAGCAGCACAATGTGTTGCTTCTAAGCAATCACATGCTTCTTTAGAACGATCGCAATTCAACGGCAGTCGTCTTATTGCACTCAAATGAGGAGATGATGTGCTCACATTATCGTTGAGATGTGCCTTATTCAGTAGTGTGCTGCATTGTGCTGCGTCGTCATCATTCAGTACCGTACTCAAACAACGGTCTGCCATTTGATACAGTTTCGTCTCCTGAACAAAGCAAGTGAGTGTGAAATGATGTTTTGAAAGAATTTGTTGAGGATTTCTTTGCGAAAAACTTCACCGACATGAACAAAAAATTTGAAATATGAATGGTTCATTCCAGGTGAGGTGAATTCGAATAGGAAATGAATTAAGTTAGGAAATTGATTGTTGAATGTTTTTTTGAGGAGATTTTTCCGCATAGTGATTAATATCGCTATCGTACGCGTCAATCAAACACAACAATAAGAGTATTGTGACAAGACTATCACTATGATATATATAGAAATCGCAAATATCAGACAATCGAAAAAATGCAATTGTTTTCTTGAGTGACACCATATGAGACACTTAGTGGTGTTGAATGAATGGAACGTTTCATTTGAATCATTGTTTCGGTGAAATCTTTCAAAACATTTCGATGGCAAAAGCATCGCACTCTTCCACATTGCTACCAGATGTGTAATGCACACGAAAGAAAATTCAATGCTAATCGATTGGGTTTCAAATGGAGTTGTCAGGAAAATGTATTATGAAATTTTACAGGAATCTGCATCAGCATCAGCGAAAAACTCTCAAAGTATCGCAGATTTACTGATTGATCACTTTGACAGGATTAAAAATGGTACAAACCCATTGATTCGGAGGTCGATGAACAGGAAGTGCAGGTGCAGTCGTCTTCATGATATCAGCATATTCCGAATTTGTCCCCAATAGGAACATTTCGCTAAGATTCACATATTCGGCAGCATCCCTGCAAAGTTATCAGAAATTCTCCATGTATATTACTGATAGAAATATCAAAACATAAATAATTTCGTTTGAATGTCTCAAGAAAACATTTCCTAACGGAGCAGACCGTGTTGTGAAATAACTTCAACGAAGCGATTTCTTGACAACCCTCGTGAGAGTGTAACGAATGCAAAGTAAACGAACGCACGTGGAATGAAAGTGAAACTGTGAGCGAGAATGTTAACAGTGGAATTCTAGACGAAAAGTTTCAATGAATGAGTGATTAGTACACAACGAATACCGCTTATATAAATCAACATGTGTTTGTTTGTATGAGCTGGGGAAATGATAGAATACGGACGGAACATTTGGGAAGTGGGTGGTTATAATTCGGTGTGCTGCTGAACGATCATAAAATTTCGGTGTACTGCTATCAATAAAAACGATTGTATAACTTACTTTTAAACTTCCTTAACAACACCACCACCAACAACAACAACGTAAACATTAAATACAAGCGAATGACTCACAAGAGCATTCATTCGTCTTGTTTTATTTTATTCAAACTCTTTGCAGAGAACAACCAACAACTCACTGTTCATTTGGCGACTGAGGGAAATCAATTTCGTCGAAAATTTCGTCATCCTCTTCTCTGTAATCATTTTCGTCATCGTATGAATTCAAGCTGTCGCGTTCGATCTGAAAGCAAGTCGGTATTTCTTCACATCAAGATGATATGCGTTTGACATTTCCAGGTGGACTGATCAACGATTGTAGACAATGATCAAAAGCACAACAGCCTCTAGTGAACATCGCTTGAGTTTCGCGAAACATGTTAAATCCATTTTTTTTTCAGACAGATGCTGTTTTTTTGTTGTCTTCCAGCATGAAGTGTGCCGTAATGCAGTTGATTAGATGGCATACAAAGGAAACGAATGTTCGCCATCTGCGATTTCAATTCGTCTTGCTTCTTACAATCTAATTATAAGCTAGAACGGTCAAACAAAACAGCGAAACGTTTAGAGCTGATTTACGTTGAAATCCGACTGGATCAGCTCTTGATAATCATTGAAAAAATTAAGATTCACCATTAAATGGTGTGGATTATCGCCCGTTGAATAAATTTTCGAATGCGCAATTGGGAATGATAAGTGATGATGAGTATGTGATGAAGAAGGGTTCTCGTGTCCAATATTTTCATGAGTACTGATTAATAGACCTTCAGTTTCGTTGGGGAAAAAATAGAGGTGTAAAAATTCATGATGAATTCAACACAACAACAAACGTTTGTGAAAGTTTCTTTTGAGAACTCTCCAAAATCAATATTTGTGGCTTGAATGATGATTATTACACTAGTTTGCTTGCGTGATTTCCATAGAAATTCTCGAGTTAATCCATTAATTTAAGAAACGAACGCATTCAACTTTCTATAGCATCATTTAAATTTTTTATGAGCTTTTTACCGATTCAACTTGCACTATGTGAGTACAATGAAGCAACCATCGTTTTTTTGTCACTCTTTTTTTTGCTCACTCTCTCTTTAAAACCAGAGAATGTCCATTCAGCGATTCCGATCATTCTTTTGTTGGCATACGAACACAAAAGTGAAGAAATTCACCAAAAAACATTTGCGGGAATACTTTATGAGGAGGAGAATGTTTGTTCATGAATTCATGCAATTTGTTGAATCATCTGCCAGTTTGGCTGACAATGGCTCTTATGAATGCTTCGAAAAACCATAATAATGAACGCTTTTTCATGCTCATCAATAAACAATTATCATTCTCAGCTAGTTCAAACACCTTCATTCATTGTGTAATTCCATAGATTTTTGCTAATGGAATTACTCTTGTGATGTCTTCCGCATGAGATTCGGCTGAAGTACTGGTGATAGACAGACGCACTCTGATGACACTTCAACTTGGCAAATGAATTTTCAAAATGTCAAGTGAATACTCTCCTGTACGAACTGTTATCCGCCATAACGTAGGCGGATCTCAGTAAACAGTTAGTTTCCTTGAAATGCGTCGAGAGCATTTGAGAGTTACAGAAGGAGATCTTGGAAAACAAAAAATGAGAAAAGAGTTTACCACATTATGCGCAATGCCCACAACGTTTGTCTTTGTTTTGCGTGGCGTCGGAATTGGTTTTGATTTTTCCTCCCACGGCGACGAATCGGTCGTCGAAGAGTTTGCCTCGTCACCATCTTCATGACTCATCGAGTTGCCTCGTACTCGAACTACAACTATTACCATTCATTTCGTAATTCCTATCACAAAACAATACCCACCCATATGTTTATATAGCAAACTGGAATTTTGTTTTTCCGTCACTTTCAACCAGCGAGTAATAAATAATTCTCGCCAAAACTTCGTTTCTCTCCTTCCTAAAAGAGAACGAGCACAAACCGGGTTTTCCAGGTTTCTTGACGACATGTCTGAGAGAGCAGCATTTGTAGAGTGCAGACGCTGATTGCGTCATCAGATCCGTCTTCCGCTCCCAAGTGTCATCTGATGTCAGACCGCTGTCATCAGACGTTCGATCCATCATCGTTGTGGGCAAAGCACCCTAGAAAACTACAACAATTACCACTGCTCCATTGAAATTTCATTCTCAGTACCACACTCGAAGGCTCCTCGAAGAGCCGTCACCTATTTGTCGTCGCACTGATTCTTTCAAAGGTCTTATCTCGATTTCTCCACCAAATCGCACTGTCAACTCATTCAATCTACTCCTTCTACGACAGCTCGTTCTCATCTGGCCTTACCACGAAATCGAAGGTTTCGTCGTAAGGCCAGACGAGTTCAAATGGAAATTTTGAAAACAAATTCAAAAAAGCTGGAAATTTCGATGGTTCTTAGAGCGCCTATCAACAATAGGTGCTTAACAGCAAATATGGAGAATGCCATCGTACACATTGTGGAAGAAACAATGTGTTTGCAACAAAATTCATTCTATCGATACAGGAAATTCGAATGCATCGAAAAAGTACACCAAAAAAGACACATAAAACATTTTTAACCTCTTCTCATATTCAAATAAGCATCTGCACAAATTTATTGAATTCACTGAATCCTAATTCTCCTACATCGTTTTGTTAAACGATAAAAATAACTGTGATCATTGTAGGAGCAATAAAGGAAGCAAAATTCTGAAAATTCTAGTCAATGGCTAGTTGAACACTCGAACGGGTACTAGAATCTTTGAAGGACGGCCATCACTAAAAATTCGAGACAGAGTTGAGGATATCGATCGCAGAAACTCATATGAGCAAGCACTGAAAGGGTTGAGCCAATATCATATAGAAACAAACAAATGAACGCGACACTTGAGCTTGAAAATATTGATTCATGAATAGCAATAGTCACTCGATCATGTTCGGATGAGTTGGGTTGTTTTGAAAGTTCCTTTTTAATGAGTAAGAGCACCCAAAAGACTACTCCAGACACTTCACTCATTCACATCGCAGTAAACAACAACCAATGCATTTACTCAAGTCAACTAAAACTCAGTGCGTGTTTTGACGTAAACAACTGCAAGCTGACTACTGAATTATTCAAATACCAAACAATGACTCCAGTGAATCTCGTGAAAGTTATACGAATTTGGTGTACCGTTGACAGATGAAGTCTTAAATTCGAACTCAAATCGAGTGAGTGCCTTTCAACGATATATCATATATCTTATGTGCATATGTATACAATATCGTATTCGATGAATAAATTCATTCTATAATTTAAGCAATTGAACTGACATTATTGCTGTTATATAGCAACTGTAAACGACAAATTGAATGAGGTTGACTGGGATGCATATCTTAGATGAAGAATATGAATCTTGAGAAGAGGAGAGGAGGTAACTAGCCGAATCGTAGGAATTCATGAGGACGAATGGTCATTCGAAGAGGTTTGCTTGAATGGGTTGAATTATTGTGAGTAGGTTTATTGGGTTTGTTCTGAGGGTGATACGTTTCAGAAACAGGTTCGTTTAGTGGGTTGGAGTGATATCCTGAGACTTGAACGCATTGTGTCACTCATGTGCAAACATGAATAGCACAGCAGAAATTCGAGACAAACGAGACGTGCTGGCGTTGGGCGAGAAAAAAGTTGGTGAATTATGCATGAATGCAAACGATGAATCTCTTCGGGAATATTCACTCGCAAATGATCACCCATTTTGACAGTACATCACACATATGCTAGCAGCAATAGGTGCAGATAAATGACCGAAATATTACGATTCATTTCGGTTGTGCATTTCAATCATTTCGATCAGTTCATGCCTTAACGCTTGAACATTATTTGGCTCGAAAAAACGAGGCAATAGAGCAGCACCACAACGATATGAGCAGTTTGAAATGAGCCGTAATACGAAATGAATAACTTAACAACTTTTTCAACAGATTATCATCATATATCTATTCGTTTCCTTCACACCAACATTGTCAATGCGAATTCACAGCTGTTTTCTCTGTTTTTTTTCCTCTCTCCCAGAAAAATCCATTCCCACTGAACAACAATCAATTTTATTCGCCTTGAGACAAACTGACGAGAATTGCCGACGAAAGAAATGCGTAATGGAGATATTTTTGGAACATACATAAAATTCCAGCTGAAGTGTAATAAACAATATTTACAATCGAGAATCAGGTTCATCACAAGTGCTGTCAGTCATTGTTGCAGGGCTAAGTAAACTCATTAAAGTAAACGATTCTCTGCCTTTCAACAATTGTTAGCGATAGTTTTGCCTTGCCTCAAATAGCGGAACTCTTCCAAATGAATGAATGAATCTTGGCCAAAAAATCCGACCCGACCGCAAATAAATCAGTCGGTTATTTTTCGTACACTCGAAACTTCGATCCATTTGAAACTTGAAAAGAAAAACCGAACCAACTGTAAGCAATAGTTCCGTAGTCAAAGAATTCGATTAAACGAGATCAAGCAAATCACTGGATTTGCTTTGAATTTTTGACTGATTTCTTCATGAGTTATCTNTCTAATCAAACGCAAAAATGATCGACCAAATAATGAGTGAATCGAATTTACCGTTACAGAATGCGAGAAGAGTAGTGAATTCTGCCAATGTTTGGTACGATCAGCACACGACTTGAGCACTTGCAATTGTGCGGTACACTTCAAATTCTGCACCCTCAGACGTTCGTTCTGTTCCTCCAGCTGAAATTCGACTGAGCACTTTAAATGGTTCGAATCGCTTTTGTTTAGTTGAATCCAGATCGATTTCGTTGTTCTACGACGGTTGAAACGACTCGAATAAATCACTCGATTATTATTGCAAAAGTTCAAAATGTTATCGTACGCATTCATAACAATTGCTCAACGAACGTAAAGATCGCCGAAAAAAGTTTTACTATCGGAACGCAAATCAAAAGAATGCGATTTTTTGCGAGTGAACGAACGAGTGATCGTGTTAATTATGAGAAACAAACGTTTCATTGCACATATTGCACGCATCTGTTTGGATTGTTGAGACGAGCCAATTAAGTCTGGGCACTTATTGCACTTTGACTGAATAATGATTGATAGATGCACAGATGAACGCAAGATAGAGTGAAACAATTTTTACGAACAAAATAATGCATTCATCCAATCCCATTGAAACGTACGAATTTCCCGCACAAATCAATGCTCAATATCTGCCTACTCGCATAGTAAACGAGTAAATTCGTTCATCCAATTCAATCCTCCCTTCTTGCATTCATTCATACATCGCTGAGATATCCGCATTCACTATTTATTAATTGTGCATGAGAAAGACTCTTTGCAGTTGCATTCACTACTTTCTGATAGGATAAGATACTGCCTTCGTAAATAAAATGATTTACGAAAGTCACTTTTAATCGCTCAGGATATCAGTACTTAATCGACTAAATATCCTGGAGAAATGACATTTCAGAATTTCATTCTCACTGCCTACGCTGCGATAAAGAAAACGGAAAACGATTTGTTCAGTCACACATTAACGATTTTCCTTT